ACTTTTGGCACTTCTCCCCAAACCACTGCTTCTCTTCTAGATGTCTGGCTTCGTTGGTCAGCCGGCTGATGTGGGCTAATGAGGGTTTCCGAATCCCCCGGACATTCTGATTGCGGGTGGCAGCTTCTTTTGCCGCTTTGTCTGCTACTTCATTGCCAACTATGTCCTGGTGGCCGGGTACCCAATGTAGGTGAACATCCACTCCTCTATGGTTTAGTGCAGTATAGCATCTCTGGATCTCGTCGGCAAGCTCTTGACCGGGTCCTTGGTCCAACGACTTGATCCGTTCCAGCGCAAACTTGGAATCCGTGAAGATCCGTATTTCGTCGAGTTGACGTTGGTATCCCAAAGGGACGCATGCGCTAAAATGATTACAATCAATCAATCAATCAGTACCATCAAATCACTCCGTCATGGTGTAGTGGCTAGCATCAGCCGCTCTCATTTGTAGAGCACACAAACCGGCTAGACCCGGGTTCAATTCCCGGTGACGGAAGATGTTCTTTTGCCTTTTGCGGGTTCTCAGTATAAGGCGAGAAGTGCCATTCCCCAGCTCCGTTAGCCGGTGACCACGTCCGATGTTGAGCACAGAACATTACGCTTATCATTCCCGAAGTTCATGGCTATGGTAGACGGTAATGCTTCCATGTGTTTGTTTCTAAGTGTTCAGTATGCAAGACTCATATCTCACGCAGACCCGGTCACATCCCCAGCCAAAAGTTAACCACTGTGGTGGCATCAGCGAGGTTCATGGGATGATTAAAATAAGGTATGAGATCCTCCGCCAGCTCTGAGTCTGCCTGGTTATAACTTAAGTTTTCACCTTCAGTCCGGTGCATTCGTCCCTCTCGCTCGAGACTCAAGCAAACCTCTGCGATCAGGATTTTACTCAGGCTACCCCGCTACTCTGTAACACGGTGACACTGGTGTGACTGATATCACTGGCATCGTCATCCGCAGCATCAACAGCATCTTCCCGTGGCGTCACGTTGCCACCACCCGATTGTTTCTGGAACTTCGTGGTCAGTAACCGTCGGGCTTGGGGGTGAGGGATGATGGATGAAATGTTTGGCTCAGACGCTACGTCCTAGGCCAGTGGAGTGGGATTGGTAGGGAAAAGACCTGTGGTGGGGGAGGAGATGGGGATGGGATGGGATGGGGAATGTTGTGTGAGGATTAGATACTATACATTATCTCGATATATTGACTGGATACCCACGGAATCGAATCAGCATCTTCGCCTCAGATCATTATGTTCATGATCCAGCCGCCTTGTATACCTTGTTGCAACCGATCAACCGACCGTTGAGCTTTTTAACCACAGCATTACAGCCTAGTTTACCAGATTACCTCCCAACCACTCTTGGGACGGTAAAGCTTGCCTTGTTGTGTGTGAGTTTCAGCATCCAGCCGTGGGGAAAGGCATCATCCTGGCACTGCCGTTGATAGAGTTACGATAGCCACCCGCACGCTTATACTGTATCGTTGGATGGAGGCTGGTAGCCGGTTTGGCCGTTAATTGCAGCGGTAGCCGGTGGATATGATGTTTGCTGTGATATTTGCTGTGATATTTGCTGTGAGGTTGCTGTGAGGTTCGCGTTGCTGACCCGACTTCCGAGCTCCCTGACTTTACTGTTACTTATCTGCAGTGCAGTGCCGGAACTCGCTCACGAGCACCGTCTGTGATACCATGGTGGTAGAGTATATATCTCGAACCCTGCTCCTGGCTACATACTTCATTGTAGCTATCCTCCATACCATATCATAGTGGTAACATCAAACCCCCGCAGTATCATAGGATACCGACACTTCTGCTCCACCAAACGCACTGCATATCCACGTATCCATCTTGTACTACACCCGCACGTTATTTTTGACATACATAGTTTTTCAGCATCATTGTCGTTTGCATTACACCTAGCCAACTAACCTCTCATCGTCGTCTGATTTGCTGCCGGGAGCGGAGGCTGGGTACTGGTTCCAGCCTCCTCCGAGTTGCCGTTTAATTACAGGTGAGCTGAGTGAGGGGTTCGCGAGGAGGTTGGGAGGGTTGATGTAGAGTACAATACCGTCGGGCGGGGAGGGGGAATAACTTGTTGCGTTCTTTTGTTGTCATGCTTTCGGGGTTTTCTTTCTTTCTTTCTTTCTTTCTTCTTTTTGCTGCTGCTGCTTCAGATACGCTACGAGTACGCTACGACGACGAGAGAGAAGAAAACGAGGGAAGGACTGATACGATACACTTGACGAATCCGAACTCGAGGATCAGGACAGTGACACTGGTCGGGTCGGGTTAAGGTGGAGGCTGGGTTGAGGTGACAACAGTCTGACGGGTTGACGATCAATATAGGAGTTCCTCCTGAGAAAAATTGCAGTAGAGTCTGTTGGATATTATCGTCTGTTTTCCCTATTGACGACTTCCAGCCAAAGACAACAAGAGTTCCCAAACCATCATGGCTCCATATCCGCAACCTCGTCCAGGAAAGAGCGGAGACTCAGCAGCACCAGCGCCATGTCCATTCAACTGTCCCATCACCCCAACCCCTACCTCAATCCCACCCGCCCCGATCCCCAAATCCCCAGAAGACCCCACTGGCATCATCGTCATCCCAGTACCACTCCCACCAACAACACCCTCAACCAGCACCGACCTCCCCTCTCCCAGCCCCACCAACTCCTTTCTCCTCCCTCCCACCACTCCATATCTCTCTTCTACCCCCGGCAGCGGTGGCGGTGGTGGCACCCTCACCATAACCTCTCCCTCCGACAATGACGACTCGGATTTCCACTCCTACCACGACCGAGCCGTCAAGATCTCCGTCGGTGTCCTCGTCCCGATTGCGATACTCGCAATCATAGCCGGTATCATCTTCCTTGTCGGCCGCCGCAAGAAGGCCATGGCTGCTTGCGTGGTTTCACAAGCGGTGGTGGTGAGAAGAGAGCAGCCGAGGTATGGGGATATGGTGATGTGTACCATTGCGTGTACAAGTGCGTGTACAATGATGGCGGTGGCCGGGAGGAGGGAGTGGGTGTGTGTGAGGCATGGGGGAGGGGTAGTGTGTGTGAGGGGCGGGAGGGCGTGGTCGATTAGGAGTTGTGAGGATGATGACGGGGGGAGTGAGGGAGGTTGGGAGGTAGGGGGAATTGGAGGCGGAGGAGGAGGGGGAGATGGTGGAAGCGGTGGAGGAGGAGGAGGAAATGTGGTTGTGAATCTCCATGGAGGGTCTTCATCTTCGTCGTCATCATCGTCGTCGTTCTCTACAGTACCGGACTCCTTTACCTTCTTTCCTGTACCAACGAACAGATACAAATGGTCATCCACATGCTCAGCTCCGCCGCCGTCTTACCATTTTCACAACATCCAGGATGATGGCACAGACAGCAGTTTCAGACATTCTCACTCGCCGCCGACCTGTCATACCGCCAACTCAGATATCAACAATCTCCACATCCACCCCGCCGGGCGGGTCCACGAACTCAACAGCGATGATGAAGACGATGACGACAATATTATCTTTGTCCCCACCTCATCCTGTCAATGTTCACCGCCTGCTCCTGGTACCCACAACTGCACCAACTCCACCTCCATCCCCGTAGAATCTCCAGAGCCCATTATTACCACAACCATCACGGACACTGCTCCTCATTTCCCTCCCCCTCCTACTCCTCTCACAGAAACAGGAGTAGCAATAACAGCAACGATGATAAGAACCGAAACAACAGAAACAACCACCACAAAGACCAAAACTAAAACAAAACATAAGAAATCCCACGCCTCCAAAACCTCCTTCATCTCAAAGCTCAAATGCCGCCTCTCGACCCGCAAACCCCACCCCATAATCGTTGCAACAACTACCGTGCATGCTCCTCCTCCAGATACCGTCGATATCAATATCCCGCTCAATGACCTCAACACCACCGCTATCTCCTACTTGTCAGCAGCAGCAGCAGTCGCAGTTATAACAGAATCACCACCCCCCGAACCCCCTACCCAGAAATCACCCTCCCCCTCCCCAACACTCACAAAATTCCACACCCACCACCGACCCCAGAGCCATGGCACAGACGCAATGGGAAGGGGATTGTGGGGGTATCCGTTGTTGAAGGGGGGTATAGGGGCGGGGCCGAGGGTGGAGGTCGAGGTTGTTAAGAAGGATGGTGAGGGGATTGTGAGGGAAGGGGAGGACGGGGGAAGGGAGGAGGGTGGGTGCAATGGGGAAGGGTTGAGGGACTGTGATTCTGGGAAGAAGTGAGGAGTTGGGGTGGGGGAAGTTAGAGCTGGGCGTGGAGGGCGGGGAGAGTCGGATAGAAGAAAGTAAGGAATTATTGTGGGATGTGACGGCGTTGAAGAAGATCAAGACTGTGTGGATGTTTGTTTATCTGACTGTGTTAGTATTTAAAACCCCTACTTATGCTAGTGTTTAGCTCCCAATCTTCTTTTCTTCTTCTCCTTCAAAATTATGTTAGCGGCTGGGTGCTATGATGATGATGTCCAAGCCCGCGACTAGCGGAGCCATGAAACATGTCCCTTAATCTACTTTGTTGTCTAACTACATCTATATCAAGGTATAATCACATACACTGTGTTCCACTGAGTAAATCGATATAATACGCGCAGAGGCGGGAGTGTACCCGTGTTGGTAGAGGGAGAGTGAGTGGTTTATGTATGAGCCATGCGGATTCCGAGTCTTACGTTGACTCGCTCTCAAACCCCGCTCTCACACTTCGCTCTACATCCCACTCTCACCTTACCCTCTAGATCTCCTCCTCTCCTTCTCGCTCTCGACCTCAATGCCCCTCAACTCTCTAGATCAACCTCGAACACCCCGTCATCTTTTTACCCTTCTCAGCGGCTTTCAGTACCCTCAACCACCAATATCTCTCTCTGAAATCTCGCTATCTCACGCCTCGTAGGTCTCCCTTCCCGCTCCTTTCTAGCTCGCTCCTCCACTCTTCTCGCTCTCAAACTTAGCCTAACTCGCAACAACAGACATATACCCGGTTGCACATACTGCTGTTGGTTTCACTGAGAGCGCAATATCTTGTCATGGGTCTCCAAGCTATTTAATGTTTGCGAGCGCTGGGAGTCGTGGAACAAAGACATCACCCGAGGTATACTCGACGTGGGCTCGAGATCAGAGTGATTGATTGAGGGAAACACAGCCTGTTGATGAAATCTTCGCCGTCTAATTGCAGCCTGAACAGCTTTAAAGCTCATCACACCCACCCTGCACTCTAGTCCATGTCTTGCGTCGTTTTCAACTATGGAAGACAACAACAGGGTAGACAACAGGGAGACAGACTGACATACAGGTACAAGATTTATCGGATTGTAGAGTTGCGATATGGGGAGGATTTGCTTACATACCCTTCGCTGAGACCAATGAGTTAGATCTCTGCATGCGTAGTGGAGGGCGGGACGACCAATGAACTTTGTTGCGGATAGGAGTTTGGTGGGCGCAGATGCTCTCGAAGGAATCGAGGACAATACATTGATAT